TACAATCCCTGATCGCATGGGGCTCCTGGTCCCATGGGATTTGAGGGTTCCTTGGTTTCTTCTCTTTTCTTTCTACCCTTCTTCTCCCTGGGTGACCTCATCTGTTCCCATGGATTGAAATATCCTTATGCCAATGACTTCCAAATATGTCTCTCCAGCCACAACCTCTCCTCTGAACTCTGGACCTACATATCCGGCCATCCACTTGACATCTCCCTTTGGGGTCTCCCAGACATGTCAAGCAGATCATGTCCAAGCTGGTGTCCAGTCCTTTCCCAGGCAACCCACCCCCCCCACCCCCTGTCTTTCCCATCTCAGTAAACCCCGCCCCCCTCCACTAGCTCCATCCAGAAAGCTCTATGATCTCCTGGCTTCTCCCCATCCATATCCACGATCAGGAATTCATCCACAGACCTGTGTGTCCTGTCTCTGCAGATCCACAGCCTCACCCCATCAGCACCCTAGTCCATAAAGAGAGACCTGGCGACACAAATGAGGCTTCAGAGGGAAGATGGGGATGTCGCCTCTAGTCATGAGAGTCAGGGTTTGTGTGGAAGCTGCTCCGCCAGGGAGAGGTGGAGACTCAGGGCCCCGCCAGGGACACACAGGGAAAAACCGCTTCCCCCAGTCCTAGGTGGAGCCCCTGGTTACGCTCTGAGCCCCAGAGCCTTGCGTCCCCAGGGAGGCAGAGGGTGGAAAAGACTGATAGGTGGAGAGAGTGAGAGCGTCCAGAACGCCCTCCACTGCAGCACAAGGGCTGCCTCCCGGGTGGGCGTGATGGGAGAGATCACAGCACATGCAGCCCAGCCTCGGGACTTGGTGTCTGTGACCAGCTAAGAGGAAAACTATTCTTGCTTTTCTCTTCTGGGAATGGGCTGGCCCTGCTGGGTTCCACACCAGGTGAGGACCAGGCAGGTATTCTGTTCAAAGGGGTGTAAATTTGCCACCCATTTGACAGGGGAGAAAACGGAGGCATGGAGTTACCCGGATGTGAGGAGCAGAGCAGGGCAGTCCTGTTCAGGGCCCTACACGCCCTCCCGACGGCCTCCTTCCCGGCCCTGCAGCCCCCCTTCCAGACAGTTCCTAGCACCATAAAATAAGCGGACAAGCCTCACTCTGGAAGGAGCACACAGGGCTCTGTCCTTTCTGGGGCCCCACTTAGAAGCACAGTGGAGGTCTCCAGAAAGCACGCTCACACTGAGGTCATATCACCATAAATCAAGGGCCCCTGAGGGCTCGCACAGCGTTCCCAGTCACTAGCTGCGGGCCTGTGGCAGCTCAGGTTCCTCCAGGCCACACCCTAGACCCGGCTACTCCCCTTCTGACTTCTCAGGTCATATGGAGCAGCCATTCCCCTGGGCCCGGGCCCCCGGCACAGGAGACCTGGGCTTGCTTGCAGCTGTTTTGCAGAGCGTGAGGGCAAAATGGAAGCTGCAATGATGAGGGAGAAGGTGCTGGGGAGAGGGAGACGAGCTGGACGAGTGGGGCCCCAGGATGGTCATCCTTTCAGAGGAATCCTTGCTGGGCAGCTACAGTGGGCTAGACACTGAGTGATGGCGGCCGGGCAAGACCCGCAGGACAGGTGACATACAGCCCAGTGGGAAAGGCAGGGAATCAGCTCAACCATCCACTGTGGGCCATGTGAATCCGGCTAGCCCACCATCCAGAAGCAGGGGGTCCAGGAGGTGAAATGACGTGCCGGTGGCCATGGTGTGGAGGCAGGAGGGCGAGGGTTCAAAGCCACGCCCATCCAAACAGAACGCCTGCCTGTTCGTCACCAGGTATGAGGAATGCTGGTAGGATGCTGAAACAAAAAGGACTGACCAATTCAGTGCTGGCGAGGACACGGGGCTGCTGGACCCCTCCCGCCCCAGGGGCACCACCTCTTCGGAAAACTCTTTTGCAGATTCTTCCAAAGCAAAACACCCATCTGTGAGTGGCACAGCCATCCCACTCCTGGGTCTTCTCCAAAGGGAAATTAAAGCACGTAGCCTCCCCAGATCTTGGACACAAAGGTTCCCACTGGCTTTATTTGTAACGGCCCCAAGCTGGACACCACCCAAATGCGCATCTGTAGGTCCTCGGGTAAGCAAAGACCTGGGGTCGCCGTGGGTTCCGCTGCTGGCCTCTCCTTCTGTTTTTCTGAGTGCCCTCGGGCAAGCAGCATCTCCAAGCTGAGCCTCGGTGGCTTTTCCTGTGAGGTGGGTCTCGTGAGTGGGCCTGATTCAAGGTGGTGGGCAGGATCAGCGTGACGCGCTGGGGGAAGCTCCCAGCCAACTGTGAAGGGCCCAGCTTGGAGCGGTGGAGGGTGCCAGGCTCCAAGCAGCCCCAGACCTGGCTACTTGGCAGGTACCGCTGGCAGTACTGGGGCTGCCCCTTGGCTGCCTCAGCTCTGGGGACCCCATGGAGCACGAGGCATCTGGACAGGTAGTGGGGCCCTAGGAGGTGGCAGGGCCTGGGCTTCAGCCCTGTTCCCTGAAGGGCTCCGTGTGTTCCATGCAGCAGGCAGGGTCGGGGTCGTGTTTAAACTCGGGGGAGCCCAGGGCAGCACCCCCAGGCCACACACTGTCCCAGTGGCGTGGGCAGGCGGCCCCTTGGATGGTCGGGACAGCATAGCAAGGCCCTGGGCACTCATCTGACCAGTCACGTGGGGGGCCATCTGAGGGAACAGACAGGCAGATCCAACCCACGGTGTGGGGGCTGGGATTTGGGATGGTTTAAGGGCTGCGCCCAAAGCCTGGGGAGGAGCCTGGGTGGGAGTGGCTGGACCAGAGAAGGTTGGTGGGACCACAGCTATCCCGTGCCCGGCACCCTGGTAGCCAGTTCAGAGTGACTGTCCCAGACCCAGCTGAGGCTCCGCAGCCAAAGCAGGGCACACCTGGTGTTTCTGAGAGCCCCTCTGCCCACGGTACCTCGTGCCAGTCCCGCTGGCCCAGGGTCGGTCCTTAGGACCCCAGCCACTCACATGCTGAGCCCCCGCAGGCCAGGCCCTATGCCCAGCACGCAGCGGGAGCTCAGCCCGTGTGCCGGCTGAACAGTGAGACGGCTGTGAATGAACAGATGAAGCATCTCTCCCGCTCCGCTCCCCAGCTTCTCCACCGCAGAATCTGTGCCTGGCTCAGGAAATGTCTCCTCTGGGTGGGTTTTCTATTGCTGCATAACAAATTGTCACCAGTTTAAAAGCTTAAAATGGCATTTATCTATTGTCCTAAAGTTTGGGTGGGTCAGCAGTCAGGACATGGCGTAGCTGGGTCTTCTGTCTCGTGGGGCTGATGTCAAGGTGCCAACCAGAGCTGGGGTGTCCTCTGAGATTTGGGACCCTCTTCCAAGCTCTTGCAGCAGTAGAAGAAGCTATCTCCCTGCACCTGTGCCTCATGGGGCTTGCATCCAATCTCGCAGGAGAGTCTCTGACTTCAAGACCATTTTTTAAAGCCTCACCTGATTAGCTTGGGCCTGCCAAGGATAACCTCCAATTTGATTAACTCAAGGTCAACTGGTTAGGACCTTAGTTAAGACCTGCAGAAGTCCAGCCACCTTTGCCATATAAAGTCACCTCATCCCAGGAGCACATCCACGGTCTTCACAGCCCTGCCACAGTCCAGAGGAGAGTTCACAGGTGTGTGCCCACCTGGGGGCAGGGATGCTGGAGAGCCTGAAGCTCCTCCCAACCATGCTCTCCTTGGCTCTGAGACTGAGTCCTGGCCCCAGGTAGGTCATGGGGGAAGCTCTGCGGAAGGAATAAAGGAGGGAACGAGTGAGTGAGTGAAGGTGTGAGTCTGGCATCTTCCATCAAACGGTGACCTTCCCAGGGCCAGGGTCCACACTGCACTCACCTCTGAAATCACCATGGCAACTATGCTCCTGGTTAACCGTGAGGCTTTGAATGCTCACCTGAGCGAGTGGAGGAGGGAGGGGTGCCTCTGACTCTCCTCAAGGTCAGGGTATGTGCGGAGCAGCTCTGAGACCCAGTCCTCTGGGAGCCAGGGGCAGGCAGCACCCACGCTCTGTCCTCAGCACCGTCTCCTCTGGCTCCTCCACGCAGCGGCCCCTCCAGTGCACAGCGGCAGCACCCAGGGCAGCACAGGGACCAGTGGGAGGCGGGCTCCTGGCTGTGAGACCTTGGGCACTCACGGCCTTCTGCTCTGACCCTCCTGGTCCCCATCAGCAAGCGCGGCGTGGCAACACCTGACTGGCGTGCGGATGGAGCATTCACGGCATGGCCAGCACTCAGGGCAACGCCTGGGCCGTCTGGGAGCCCACACCATCGCCTCCTTTCATCCCCCCAACAGCACACCAGGCAGGTGCTGTCCTTATGACCATTTTATAGCTCGGTAAACTGAGACACAGAGAGGTTAAGTAACATGTCCAGAGCTGGGCATTGGGCCCATAGCGGAAGGGCAGCCCCTCTCACCTCTGACCACCGGGTCCCTGACTGGTGAGTCGAACGCCCTGCTCTCAACAGCATGCTGTGTGATGTCAGAAGCCAGCTGCCCTCTCTGTTTTGGCCCCGGTGTTGGGTTTGCTGGGGCCGCATGGCTAAAACCATAGAAGTGTATCGTCTCCCAGCTCTGGACGGCAGAAGTTCCAAATGGGAGGGGGCCACTTTCCTGATTCCAGGGGGCCCTCCGTCTGTGTCTCTCTGTGTCCAAATTTCCCCTTTTATTTTATTTTATTATTTTATTTTATTTTATTTATTTATTTATTTATTTTTTGAGACGGAGTTTCACTCATGTTACCCAGGCTGGAGTGCAATGGCGCGATCTTGGCTCACCGCAACCTCCGCCTCCTGGGTTCAGGCAATTCTCCTGCCTCAGCCTCCTGAGTAGCTGGGATTACAGGCACGCACCACCATGCCCAGCTAATTTTTTGTATTTTTAGTAGAGACGGGGTTTCACCATGTTGACCAGGATGGTCTCGATCTCTTGACCTCATGATCCACCCGCCTCGGCCTCCCAAAGTGCTGGGATTACAGGCTTGAGCCACCGCGCCCGGCCCCAAATTTCCCCTTTTAAAAAGGATCCCAATTACACTGGATGGGGCCCACCCTCCTGGCCTCATTTTAACTTAATTACCTCTCCAATGACCCTCTCTCCAACAAAGTCCCCTCCCAAGGTACTGAGGGTAAACGCTCTAACGTGAATTTTGGGAGGACATGATTCAGGCAACAGCAGCCACGGCGATCTGAGGTTTCTTCCGTCCTTGCCCCAGGTAGCGCTGTGAGGGCCTGAGCGGCCAGGCACCTTAAACGTTTTATTTTTATTACCCGAGGCTCGAACTCTCACACGCAAACCTGGGCTGTGCGTCTGCCCCTGGGAGGTCCTGGCCTCGCTGGCCTGTGGCCCCGGGCGTATCTGTCACTCTTCTTTCTTCTGCATTCTGGTTGCAGGCATTGATCCCTGCCCTGGGGTTTATTTTGCTGGGTGTCAGGCAGGAAAAGGGTCAAATTCCAGCGTGCGTGTCTGATGTTGCATCCCAGGACAGCTGGCCTGAGCTGCTTCCCCTGGCTGTGGGGAGTCTGTCCCGACAAGAAGACGCGGCTCGGCCAGGGGCCCAGAGCTGCGGCTCCTCCAGGGGCAGCTGAACTCAGCACCCAGCCTCAGGAAACGGTGGATTTGAAAGCAGAAATCCTTTTCTCTGAAAAGGGAAAAGAAAGTTCCTTCTCAGCATCTCTGGCTTCTTCTCCCCTGACCCCAAACCAAAACACTTATTTTACCATAGCAGGGCAAAAAACAAACAAACAAAAAGCATGTTAAAAACATTTTGTTGACAATTACAAAAAGAACACATCGTCTTTTACCTCGACGTGCTCCCAATCTCCCCTCAATCATTAGCGGCAGCCCTGGGTTCCGGCTGACTGCAGGTGTCCAGAGCAAAGGAACACACTGGACCTCACTCCTTCCCTCGCATGTGGCTTTCTGTCTATTTATTTATTTGAGTTACACAAGCAATATGTGTTCAGTAGGCACATCTCAGAAAGCAGAGATAAGCAAGCCCAAAGGGGAAAAAAGCACCTGCGACCTCCCAGCCACTAATCACCCTCATCAAGAATTAGCATCTGCCCTTCCATTCCTCTTACCGACTCACATGTGTGCATGGCTGTGTGTATGTTTATACGCATGTAGTTACGTACTAATTCAATCCCGCAAACTTGGTGTGAGGGTTTAGTGACAGCTGCCTCTCTTATTAGATAATTTTCAAAATTCCAGTTAAAATCAGCAAAAGTGGCAAGCTGTGGTGGCTCACGCCTGTAATCCCAGCACTTCGGGAGGCTGAGGTGGGCAGATGACCTGAGGTCAAGAGTTCAAGACCAGCCTGGCCAACTTGGCGAAATCCCGTCTCTCCTAAAAATACAAAAATTAGCCAGGCACGGTGGCACACGCCTGTAGTCCCAGCTATTCGGGAGGCTGAGGCAGAAGAATCGCTTGAACCCGGGAGGCAGAGGTTGCAGTGAGCCAATATCGTGCCACTGTGCTCCAGCCTGGGTGACAGAGCGAGACTCCATCTCAAAAAAAGAAAATCAGCAGAGGTAAGAAGGAGTTGTGACACACCTTGACGTTAGCAAAATGGGTTTTAAAAGGAGAAAAGTGGACTCTGAGAAGGCTGTGGCGAAGCTGTCACTCACACGGGTATCAGTAGGCTCACGGGTGTGCAGTGCACACATGTCCATACCGCGTTCCCATAGGCACCCACGTGCACTTGCCTGAACCTTTGTCCCTTGCCGGGCCACATCCCTCCCACTTCTTCATCTCAGTTTTTTTAAAGTTAATTTTAACTTTACTTTTTGCTAGCAGTCTTAGGTTTACAGGAAAATTGAGAAGAAAGTGCAGAGAGTTTCCACAACCGCCCCCTACCCCAGTTCCCCTATTACTAACATCTCACCTTGGTGCCAGGCATCTCTCTGGCTGCGCTGATCGGCTCCCTTGTCATGACTGAGGAGCCCCTGGGATCACTTTATTATGAGACTAAGGCCCCTAGTTTACATGAGGACTCACACTTGCTGGTGTACATTCCATGAAATTTGACAGATGCTATGGGGACATGTGCCCACCGCCAGTAACCTCCAGAAGACATTCCCTGCCCTAAACATCCTGAGCTCACCCGTCCATCCCTCCCTCCCCGCTGACCCCCGGCAACCACTAACCTTTTTACCATCTCCATAGTTTTGCCTTTTCCAGAAAGACACGTAGTTGGAATCGCAGAGAAAGCAGGCTTTTGGGTTGGTTCTTTTATCTAGCAACATGCATTTAACCTTCCTGAGAGTCTTTCCGTGACTTGTGAGCTCATTCCTTTCTAACTCGAAAAAATATTCTTCCCTCTGATTGGCCCAGAGATGGCCCACACAACCCAAGCTGGACCAATCAGAGTTCTACCTGGAATTTCGGTCAGAGTGGTCTGAATATAGACTCTCTCTTCCCATGGGAATTACAAAAGTCCCTTGCATTGGCCTGAAAGTGAAGCCAGCATAGGACAGCAGATGCACAGAGATGGTGTTCTGATGCCGTCATTGTCACCTTCTCGGTCGTGTGGTGCCTAAGGTCTACCGCTGGGTTCTCTCCTCACATGAGCCAGCATGGTCCCAGTTTTGCAGAAGGGTTAAGGTTTCTGTCACTTGCAACCAAAACTCCTAAAACAAAGACAAATGTTTTAACATGGATCTTTTTTTGTCAACAAATTCATATGACGTTGTTATTTTAAACATTTTTTATTAGAGTAAGATGTACATACAAATAAAATTCACCATTTTAAAGTGTACAGTTAGGTGAGTTTGACAAACACAGCTGTGTACCCGTTGCCACAGCTGAGGCCCAGGACAGTCTCATAATCACAAAAAAACCTCCTCACCCTGCTTCCCTTCTCCCAGCTCCTGGGAAACATGAAACGTGTTTCCTGCACCTACAATCTTGCCCTTTCCAGAACATCGCATAAATGGAATAATACAATGTGTAGCCTTTGAGTCAGCTTCTTAGCACAGAGCATTTTGGACCATCCATTTGGCTTGTTCTTTTTCATGGCTCAGTAGTATTCCATTGAATGGATGTACCACCGTTAGTTCATTTCAGTTGAAAGACATTTGATTTGTTTCTAGTCTGGGGTGATTAGGAATTCAGCCTCTGCATACATCTGTGTGCAGATCTTTGTGTGTACTTAAGTCAATGCCAAGGAGGTGTCAGGACCTTGAAGTCAGGATAGCTGAGCCCTCAAAGGACTCTCCTCAGCCTTGCCACATTGCTCAGACATATTCTCAGAATGAGAAAGAGAGCTGGCTAGGAGAATTCCTCCTACAATCATCAGAAGAAAGGCTTCCAGAAGCAGCCACCCCACTCTTCCCTCTTGGCCCAAAGCCCACCAACAGAGAATGAGATTCAAGTGTCTATGGGGGGCAGTGTAATGTTTTGATAAACATACAATAAGGAATGATTCCATCAAGCTATTAACACATCCATCTCCTTGCTCACAGGTATCAAAGCATCACATAAATATACGCTTACCATTTGTCAGTGCAAAATAATATTAATATACAATTAATATGCATACTTGTCAATGTGAAATAATGTTAATATACAATTATCATTTGTCAGTGTAAAATATTAATAATAAATATAAATAATATTCACAATCCAAAATATTGATATAATTAATGATAGTCAATTAATAATAATTAATACTCAAAACAAAATAATAATAATAACAATTAATAAGAGCATCATGTCCCCATAACATTTGTCCAATGTCATGGAACTTACACCACCAAGTGTGAGCCCCCCGTGTTGCCAGGATGGAAATAACAATGACGGTAATGGTGACGATGACGATCTCATGATCCATTGAGCCCTGGCATGGGTCTGACACCCACATTTTATTTTTTTCAGGTCTCATAATACTATTCCAAAGGCCCCTGTCCCCAGTGTCACTGTGAAGACCCTGAAGATGCACACGCTCTAGGCAGAGTGAGAGGGATGCCCCTGTTCACCCAGGACTCACAGTCTGCTTTAGATCCCTAGCAGGTGTTTATGGCAGTTCTCCCCGAAGGACCCTTACCATTGCATTGCAGTTACGCCTTGTCCCATTTGGTGCATCCATAAACAGACTCACCCCAGGGCTGGGCCGGGGTGAGTCACCCTCCTGCCTGCTTCCGGCTCAAAGATGGGACCTGGCGGGGCTCTCACCACCGTCTCACCCTGGACAGGCGACTCAACTCAAAGGAAGGCACCTACGTTGCTGAAGCTGTTTGGAAATGGAAACGATTCTGGATGCCGTCCAGCCGGGGACTGCCGGACCACCGAGAGACCTAGAACAGAGAGACACACAATGGACCACTGGCAGGGTCCTGCCAACGGTGGCTGACCAGATCCAGGCCCGGCCAGTCCCGTCCCTCCTGCCAGCAAGGGGACAGACCACAGCAGTGCATGGGCCGTGGGATTTTCTTTTATGGGCTTGCTGAGTGGACAGCTTCACCCTGGGCTGTTCAGATCTCGGAGACAGGGAGTGAGAATGTATCCTCCGTCCTCTCTCGCCCTGCCTCTGTGCTCCTTGCAAAGGCCGTGAACACACCACGGGGATGTAACTAATCACCACAGGTGTGCGTCCACCTTGAGATTTTCCTCTCCGTGAGTTCCCACGTTTCCACACGGTGGGTTGAGTGTCTGTGCGCTAACTAGCTCAGAGGTCTGGACTGTCTCCATTGTTAGCATCATTTATTCACTCAACAAAAACATCCACCGAGCCTCTCCTGCCCGCCAGAAGCTCCTCTGGGTGCTGAGGATGCAGCAGTGAGCAAGTCCCCAACCTCAGGAGCTGGCATTCTGTAGTTCAGGGAGATGAATAGTAAACCAAATAAACAGCAACTAACCACGAGCTGGACCATGATGGGTGGGCATAAGTGCTCTGGAGAAAACACACAAAGGAGTGCGGGGGCATTGGGCAGGCACCTCTGTGGACACCAGGACCAGCTCTGACCTTTCTGAGGGGGACAGGAAGGGATACCTGGATACCAGAGTTGGGGAAGTTGCTTCAAGAAAGCACAAAGCCCCCAACACAAAAGCTTGACCGGTGCGGACGTGCGGACGTTTCCGGGGCAGGGTGAACAAGGACGGACACGGAAATAACGGGACGTGGACAATGACCACCAGCAGGTCTGAGTCTCAGCAGCGGTCTCGTTACAGGGGGTGGGGGGCTGTTTCCTTGGGATCGGTGTTCAGGCTGTGTCTATTTCCAAGGCCCTGGGTCAGTTGTTTGTGTTTCCATATTGCTTGCCATCTGTCCAGGCCAACGCTTCCGACACACACGTGAACCTGCGTGAGCGCTGGCTTCCTCACCAGCGCCTGCTTTTCTCATGTTAAAACAACGTCATTCATGTAAAGGTATGAAACACCTCCCTCTCGCCTTTGCTGATTTTTAACTGTAATTTTTTAAATTACCTAATACGAAAGAAAGGCAGGCCAGGAGCAGGGGTTCATGCCTGTAATCGTAACGCTTTGGGAGGCTGGGACGGGCAGCTTGCCTGAGCTTAGGAGTTTGAGACCAGCCTGTCCAACATGGTGGAACCCCATGTCTACTAAAAATACAAAAAGTTGACTGGGCGTGGTGGCGCACGCCTGTAGTCCCAGCTACGGGGGAGCCTGAGGCGGGAGAACTGTTTGAACCCGGGAGGTGGAGGTTGGGGTCAGCCGAGATCTCACCACTGCATTCCAGCCTGGGTGACAGAGCAAGACTCTGTCTCAAAAAAAGGAAGAGGAAGGGAGGGGAGGGGAGGGGAGGGGAGGGAAGGGGGCCAGAAAAGAAAGAAAGAAAGAGAGAGAGAGACAGAGAGGAAGGAAGGAAGGGAGGGAGGGAGGGAGGGAAGAAAGATAAAAGAACGGCAGCCATACGTGAACCCTAACAGCAAGCTTGCAGGATTGAATTAGAAATCATGTCCCCTCTACCTGCCTTTCCACCATCATTGCCTGAGAAGCTTGTTACTTACATCCTCATCACACAGTGTCTCCAAATCTGGGGCTGTGTGAGCTGATTTTGGGTGGGACACAGATGGCTGAGTTTTAGCACTATTGTGAAGGGTGACTTTTAATGTGTAATCTATTTATGGCAAGTGACATTGATCCACCACATATGACAGTGCTACCAAGTAGCCTCTAAAAATACACTTATTTAAGAAAATAAGCAGAGCGGCCGGGCGTGGTGGCTCACGCCTGTAATCCCAGCTCTTTGGGAGACCAAGGTGGGCAGATCACGAGATCGGGAGTTCAAGACCAGCCTGGCTAACATGATGAAACCCCGTCTCTACTAATAAGCTGGGTGTGGTGGTGCGTGCCTGTAATCCCAGCTACTCAGGAGCCTGAAGCAGGAGAACTGCTTGAACCAGGACCTGGGAGGTAGAGGTTGCAGTGAGCCGAGATCTCACCACTACACTCCGGCCTGGGCTACAGAGGGAGACTCCATCTCAAAAAAAAGAAAGAAAAAAAGAAAATAAGCAGAGTGGAAGTGTTGTATTGTGATGGACTGATGGGATAGGTGGTATTCAGCAGCCTCAAGGTGCTGGGGGAGGCTGATGTCTCAAAGACTCTGCACTGTCTCATGTAATCATCCCAAGCACAGATACTGGAGAAAGTCTTTTTTTTATTTGAGACAGTCTCACTATGTTACCCAGGCTGGAATGCACCGGCATAGTCTCAGCTCACTGCAACCTCTGCCTCCTGGGCTAAAGCGATTCTCCTACCTCAGCCTCCCGAGTAGCTGGGATCACAGGTGTGTGCCCCCACACCTGGCTAACTGTTCTATTTTTAGTAGAGACGGGGTTTCACCATGTTGGCAGGCTGATCTCAAACTCCTGACCTCAAGTGATCCGCCCGCCTTGGCTCCCAAAGTGCTGGGATTACAGGTGTGAGCCACCGAGCCTGGCCTGGAGGAAGTCTTATTAGCCCCATTTCATGGAGGAGAAACAGGCTCTGGGGCATGGAGGCTGCCGGTGGCCACGAAGCCTCAGTGGCCCATTGGGCTTCTGTGCTTTTACCTGCGACAAGCACCCGCCTGTGTAGCAAAACAATTTCATTTCTGAAGTCAGGCTTCTACTTACATGCAGTTGGCCTTCCCTTGTGAATGGGGAAACTGAGGCCTGGAGGTCAGCCAGTGGGTCAGGACACAGTTCAGCCCTGAGGTGGGGCTCTGGCCCCATCCAGGAGCTCCCCAAGCAGCCAACTTTGCCAGCCTTTGATGCCTCTCCAGACAAAGGGTCTGGGCAGTGGCCACTCACGCACTGAGCCCATATCCCCACAGGCCTGGCTCTGGACTCTGGAGGCCTGAGGCTGCACCCAGGTTGCGGCTGGCCTGCCTGCCCCGGGGCCAGGGCTGGGTGCTTTCTGCTGAGTCACTAACAAGGCTCAGGCCTGACCACAGGACATTTTTGAGATTCCAGGGCTGGCTCCACGAAGGCCAGCATCGGCCCGCTGCAGGTCTGGCTTCACCCAGCCCAGAATCACAGCCTCACAGAGCCTAGAGGGGCCGTGGGAAGGGGAGTCCTGGGAACTGAGGTCAGGAGGCAATGGTGGCCCCTTTGGGGTGGTGCCCTCTGCTCACCCCTCAGCAGGGGTCCGACGGAGCAGTGCACAGGCAGAGATTCAGCATCATGGCCGGACTTCAGGCAAGAGGGGCCCCGAGGTTGAAGACAAGGGGCTCAGAGCTTGATTTTCATACACTTTCGAATTTTCTCAGAGTAGAACAATTTAAAAATATTTAATATTTTAAATTTAAAAATATATAAAATATGGTTAAAAAATTCTCCTACTCCAGATTCCCAGACCCCTAGTTTTCCTCCCTAAAGGCAATTGATGTTACGTTTCCTGGGTATCCATGCAGGGTTATGTATGCATCTACAACCAAATCTCTATACATGTCCACAGAGAAGCAGACATAGCTGCATGTGTGCATGTGTGTGTGCATGTGTGTATGTGTGCACGTGTGTACGTGTGTGTGCATGTGTACGTATGTGCATCTGTGTGCATGCGTGTGCACCTGTGTGTATGTGTGCATGCATGCACGTGTGTGTGTATGTATGTGCGTCTGTGCGCATGTGTGCATCTGTGTGCGTGCATGTGTGCATGCATCTGTGTGCATATGTGCATGTGTGCGTGCATCCGTGTGTGCGTGTGCGTGCATGTGTGCATGTGTATGCATGCGTGTGTGTGTGCGTGGGTGTGCGTGTGTGTCCTTTTATCCCAAAGAAAACACATCTTGTCCTTTAACAAAGAACGTCCTTTGCATCTAGCTTCTAGAAAGTGCTGCCAATTTGGGGGACCAAGAGAGGGAGGCTGCAGAGGAACATCGTTTGGTCAGATGTGAAATGTGATCTGGAAACCGGTGCTTGGCAAACATCTCCGAAGCCCTCAGTGACCCCAGAAAGGTGGGCGGGGCCCCTTCCCATTTTTCAGGCTGTCTTGGCAGAGGCTCCCTGTCACCAAGGACCTGAGGTTGTCACAGCCGGGCGGTGTGGGAACTGGCACTGCTGGGGCTCCTGCTGCCTGGGACACGTAGGTCTGCTCGGTGATCCTGAGCACCCACCCTGTGAACCTCAGTGTCCGCGGCTGGGGAGCAGAGGTACGTGCCCAGCCAGCTCTGTCTTCCCACAGACTCTCTATGGTCTAAAGTGACGTAATGTTGCCACGAAATTCTAATCCCCACTATCAGGCAAAAACACTGCGATGGGACTGTGTTCCTTCAGCAGAGAGGGTGCACATTAATAGTACCGACTTGCTAAACACGGATTCTTAGAACAAGACTCTGCTTGGGGTTCTATTTTATTGACCAGAGACCTGAAAAATGTCCTGGTCCTCTTCTTACGTCTGGGGGCCGCAGCTGCCCCACTGTGCACCATCACCCCTCCATCCGTGTCTGCCTCCTCCAGCAGGGAAGCGGCTCTGGAAGGTCCAATTGGTGCGTCCGTTGTGTCCCCTGCAGCCATGCCCAGAGCTGTGCCTGGGACCACGCCCCAGCTAAAGTAATAATCCGAATGATTTCGTCAAAGGAGCCTGGTGTGGGCTTAAAACCAGGAGGAACTTCCAGTCGGGCGCGGTGGCTCACACCTGTAATCCCAGTACTTTGGGAGGCTGAGGCAGGCGGATCGCAAGGTCAGGAGATAGAGACCATGTTGGCTAACACAGTGAAACCCCATCTCTACTAAAAATACAAAAAATTAGCTGAGAGTGGTGGCACACGCCTGTAGTCCCAGCTACTCGGGAGGCTGAGGCACAAGAATCACCGTAAAGCATCCCCAGTCCCACAGCACAGAGGTGGGACAATTCTAGCTCAGTGTCTCAGCCAGTGGGTTCCCACGTCCTCCCCGCCTCTCCCAAGCAGGAGACACAGTGACCCAGGTAACCAAGCATGGGCAGGTGCATCCCTGGGAGAATTTCAGCAGGCTGCCCTGGCTGCAGGGTGAGTCTGTGACACCCCCACCTCCCCATCCACACAGTGGACTGCTCACACGGGGACGGAAACCACACTGACTGTCGTTCCTGCCACCTGACCATTGTTCGGTGGCCCAGGACTACCTGGAGCCCCTTCCTGCCCAAGTGACAGCCAGCCCACCTGGGTCTGGAGATGGGCCTTGGGGACACTTCTCATCGGATCAGCCATGCTGCCTGCCCAGGAAGCTCCTCATGAAAGGCCTCCCTTGTGCACCTGGGCATGCCCAGCCGCCGATGTCACCCGAAGCCCCCTCTCATAAATTCCAGCTCCAAGGTTTGCAGTTATCGGGAGGAAGTTTCCAATTGCTGTTCACATGTGGGAAAATATGTAAGCAACTGAGAGGCCCTTTTGTCTGGGGCTCAGAGGGGGCCAGGGACCAGGAGGGAGGGTGGCCTGTCCCCAGTGGCGGGTGCAGAGGAAGCGGCTGCGTTCAGGTTTAATGAAGTCTCATGAATCATGGCCACCCATCAGGCACAGATTCTATAAATCACCTGTGACGGGCTTGGCTTGTTTGTTTTCTCTGCAGCCAATACATTGATCAGGGCAGTGGGCACACGAGGGGGCCCCCTGGGGGCCCAGGCCCTCAGAGAATCAAACCCTGTTCTTTTAAGTTGCGGGAAAACAAGGCCATAAAGAAGGGACTTGTGCTAATGAAACTCCCTGGATTCCAAGGAGGAAAACACAGCTCTGAGAGCAAGTCCGTTTTCAGCCTTGCGTCTGAAAGGGAGTCTGGGGAAATGCTAATTTTGAACTTTCTGTACACCCTTCCTGCCTCTGGATGTGGCTGCCTGACTTGAATTCCTTTGGACAATAAAATGTGGGGGGGGGGGGGATCACATCACTTCGGCAAAACACAGGCTCAATTTTTCTTGATTAGCGGAAAAGTGTGCGCTATTTAAACAGACACGTCACGTAACTTTTTATTTTCTAACATTCCCAAGCAAAAAAGGGGGCGGGGAGAGGGGTGCATTTGGGAATATGAGGTCAGCTCAGCACCTAATTTGGAAAGACCTTTTGTTTGGTGATGGACTTAGAAAAACAGGCCTCAATCTGTATTTTCAGAGGAGACGCGCAGGCTTTCATGCATCCTCCCCGCGTTCCCTCACGATCCAAGGAGAAGGCCCTCTGCTTCTCAAAGTTCACGGGGCAAAGGGGCACCTTGATCCGTGGCTGAGAAACTGAGCTAACCTTTCGGGGACAGTGAACAGGGCCCCTGGAAATCTGCCATCCCCAGAGGACCCCATCTGTACCTGCCTGCTGCTGTTACCAGGCTGATGTCATTCTTTTTTGGGGAGGGTGGTTGGCAATGGACCTTGGACCGCCCCAAGGGGGTCCTCGGAAGTGGCCTCTGAATGTGTGTTTAGGTGACTCCTTGACAGGCACTGGATTGCTCGTCATCTTCCTCTTCCTCCCCAGGGTGACAGTAGGAAACCAGGCCTTGTCAACTGCAGGCCTGCACTCCCTGCCCCCGGGCAGCCCCAACCTGCGCACGCTGCCCACCCGCCAGTGCCAGGCCACCCGCTGCCTGTCAGGAAGGCCAGGGAGCAGATGCTTGTGCTGTGCGCACGGTGGCCGAGCTGGTGGTCGGGCCTCAGGCGCAGGGATCCTGTGTAGTCCCTGCCAGGAGAGTGGGCTCTGCAGGAGAGCCAGGGCCACAGCCTGGGGGAGGCAAGGGGAAGCTTGCCTGGTCCCTGCCCTCAGAGGCCTCTCTGGCCGAACCTTCCAAGGCGGCTGGTGGGCATCGGGAACCCTGTCTGGAAGGAGCCACTGCCAGCCCCCTCTGTGGGACTTCAGGGACCCACTGGGCTGTGAACTAGAACGGGCTCAGCTCAGCCTGGGAGGGCAGTGCGTTTCCAACTTCACAAGGTCGGCTGAGCGCAGTGGTTGGGGAGTCAGGGTCCTGCAGGGAAGGTGGCCCTGCCTGCCTGGCCTCGGCCCATGCCAGCTCTAGAATTTAGGTTGGCTGCAGTGGGGAGTCTGGAATGGAGGAAATTTTCGGGGGGCCCTGCTATACTCTGCATGTGAGAACACAAAAAAAGCCCAGGTCTCAGTAGGCCAGTAACCAGCCAGGCTCACCCTGGGGTCCCATGGGTGCTCTGTGGAGTGTGATGATCTCACTCCAGACTGGGAAGAAGGAGCATGAGGCTGAGAGGGCCGGTGACATCCCTGGATGACCTGGGAAACGGCAGAGCTGGGGTGGGGCCAGACCTCATTTCTCCAAAGCCTGCTAAGTGTGTCTTTTGTCTGCGGCTGTCTGGATACGTGGCCAGCAGGCGGGGGCCCGTCCTCAAGCCCAGTGGCTCTGCTGGGGGTAGAGAGTTGGCCACAACTCACTCATTCATTCATTTAGTCAGCCAGTCTGCCCATGACCATTACTGAGCATCCCCTCCCGCCCCCACTTCTGCTGCCGGCCAGAGCATCAACCCTTGAAAGCGACCACAAGTACTTTCACCAGCGCCTGGCTTCAAGTCACATTCAGAGCAAATCAGAGCTCCTCATTCTGGGACTGTGTCAGGAAAATGAAGGTGTTGGAAGCTGCTCCCCACAGCCCTGACCCGGGGCACTGGACGTGGGAGCAGGCAGAGGCTGACGGCCGGCAGGCTCTGGGACCCAGCCCAGCGTCCTTGGCCTCCCCAACCTCTCCTTTGCCTCTCAGCTTCCTCCCCTGGCCCCTCTCCCCTTGGCTTCCCTTCCTTGCAGGGCAAAAGGAGCAATTGCCTCTCTGTGCGTTTCTATTTCTGCACCTTCCGCTTCCTGGCTGGTAGCCGGCTGACCACTTCAGAAAGTTCTGGAATCCACAAGGCCAGCTGGTCCCAGGGCAGGATGTGGGGGCCTCGGATTTCCTCCTCCCCAGCAGCTCCACGGGTGTCCCAGGGGCCGGGCGCCCAGGGGTGTCGGGGAAGGCTGCCGCCCAGTGAATGAACAGGGAAGCAAACATGTCAGGGCCCCGCAGATCAGCTTCATCACGGCGACTGACCAGTGCCTGCGCTGGAAGGCAGGCAGGGGCCCTGCTGCTGGTTCCACGGGCATGCATTATGCGCCTACTGCATCCCAAGCACGGTTCTAGGCTCTGGAAATGCAGTGAGGAACAATTACATGTACTGGGCTTTATTTTGCGCTTTGCAACAGCCCACGAGTAAACGCCTTTTCTATACATTTTCAGACAAGAAAATGAGTGTTAAGTGATTTGCCCAAATCCACATCATTAGCGAACCACGCAGGCAGTGGGCTTGAGGCTGTGCGCTTGCTCACCCTCTTGAGTAAGTGGATGGTTGTGTGTGTAGCTACAAGAAACAGGTGGAGAACCGGGGGCTCCAGGTATAGTCATCAGGGGTCTAAATTCTAGAACACTATATTAGTCTGTTCTCAGGCTGCTAATGAAGACAACACCTGATATTGGGTAATTTATAAAGGAAAGAGGTTTAATGGACTCACAGTTGCACATGGCTGGGGAGGCCTCACCATCATGCTGGAAGGCAAGGAGGAGCAAAGGCACGTCTTACATGGCGGCAGGCAAGAGAGCATGTGCAGGGAAGCTCCCCTTTAGAAAACCATCAGATCTCATGGGATTTATTCACTATCATAAGAACAGCTCAGGAAAGACCTGCCCCCACGACACAATTGCCACCCACTGGGTCCCTCCCACGACACATGGGAACTATGGGAGCTACAATTCAAGATGAGATTTTGGTAGGGACACAGCCAAACCATACCAAACACATTTTTGTTTTATTTATTTGTTTATTTTTGAGACAGAGGCTTGCTCTGTCACCCAGGCTGGAGTGCAGTGGCTCGATCTTGACTGCTGCAACCTCCATGCCTCCCAAGTTCAACTGATTCTCCTGCCTCAGCATCCCGAGTAGCTGGGATTATAGGCATGCACCACCATACCTGGCTAATTTTTCCATTTTTAGTAGAGACAGGGTTTCACCATATTGGTCAGGCTGTGCTTGAACTCCTGACCTCGTGATCCATCCACCAGGATTACAGGTGTGAGCCACCGTGCCTGGCCCCAAACACATTTTTTAAAAATATCTCAGTGTTCCAGTGTCTGAGTGTGAATCCTCACATCGCCTCCGGGCCTGCCTAAGAGCCAATGTAAGAGCGTGCAGGTATTGGGAGATCTGACCTGGAGTCACACACTCCATCTCTGGTCCTCATGCTGTCACTGTGGAAGAAGCTGCTGGTTCCTACTGGGCAGGAGTGAGGCCAGTCAAGTGGTGCAATGAGCACAGCCAAGCTGGCAACCCATGCCATGTGTGCAGGGGAGGGCACTGGTATCACCACCCAACACCACTCGGAGGGCTAGAGGTGACCTGGTGAGCAGCCATCCTGCCTAGAGACACACGGAGATACATGTTGGCTGCTTAAAAAATGGGATTGTTGGCCGGGCTTTGTGGCTCACGCCTGTAATCCCAGCATTTTGGGAAGCCAAGGCGGGTGGATCAAGAGATCAAGAGATGGAGACCATTCTAGCCAACATGGTGAAACCCT